CTCCTCTGTCGGGCAGGCGGGTCGCCACCGCCCTCAGGCCCTCCCTCCGGCCCTCCCTCCGCCTCCCTCCCTCTCCCCTCCCTCCTCCTCTCCTTCCTCCCTCCCTCCTCCCTCCTCCTCCTCCTCCTCCTCCTCCTCCTCCTCCTCCTCCTCCTCCTCCTACCTCCTCCTCTTCCTCCGGATCCTCCTCCTCCGCCCCGATCCTCCTCCTCCTCCTCCTCCTCCTCCTCCTCCTACTCCTCCTCCTCACTCCTCGACTTCTCCTCGACTCCTCAGCCGTTCTGGCTCAGGCGATTGGGGCCTGAGCTTGCGCGCGCGTGCTTCAGAGCGGTTCGTGCGCGCGAGCATCTCAGTGTAAACGTTCGCCCAATGTTGTGCGCAGCGCATGGGGCTCCCACCCGATGTCCTGCCAGGCGCCAGGACCCCACACGCGACTGCTGGGACAGCTGGGCACCCAGAGCCAAGTGCAAGGGCTGTGGCGCCGCAGCGCCAGCGAAGGTGGTCACGGCAGAACAGACGGCTGCTGCCGCGTGGGCTCCTCCCTCGGCCCCGAGGGCCCCAGGAGGAGCTTGGGCGCGAGGACCGCCGCAGCACTCAGACCAGAGGCGGCCCAGCTCTCTCTCTCTCTCTCTCTCGCGGGGGGCGAGGGGGGCACAAGGCGCCGTCACAGATGGAGCCTGCCAAGTCAGGCGGCCAGCCCCCTTCCTCGGCGTCGAAGCTCTTACACCAGCAGGTGGCGGAGTTTCTTGAGGAGGAGGAGGGGATCGACGCAGCAGTGGTGGAGGCGCTCAAGGGGAAAGGCAAGGCAGCAGATAAGAAGCCCAGTGCGTCAGCGCAGCCAGCGCAGGGGCGGGTCGAGAATCTGGCAAGCAGGCCCAGAAAAGCAGTGCCAAAGCCGAGTCGCTCGAGGCGCCGAGTGCGGAGCTGGGCAGGAAGATGGAGGACACCGAGGTGCACCTGAAGGAGTGCAAAGGGCGGCAGGAGGCCGCAGGCTTGCTCTGCAGGGCTCACTTCCGCGAGCTCGACGATCCGCTCAGAGTCCTCACGGCAAGGCTCGAGCAGTCGGTCGTCGAGTCCGGCCCAGGAAAGGCGGCGCTCGAGGTCCTCGTCGGACTCCAGCAGCAGGCCGCCCCCCGGGCTGCCCAGGCTCAGGCGGCAGCCGCGCCTGCCGCGCCTGCCGCTGGTCCTGCAGCTGCTCCTGCGGGTCCTGCAGGTCCTGTCGCTGCGGTGCGGCCAGCACCAGCCAAGGACGTGCCAGTGGGAGATGACGACGACATCGACAACGGCGCCCTCCGAGGGGAAGACTACGAGGCCAAGGAGGAGGCTTTCACGAAGGCAGCTGAGGCCCTTCGAGGAGCTGCAGAACCTGAGCAACTGTAGGCAGCCAACCGCGCGCTCCACGAGGCGACGGCAGCGTTAGAGATCAAGAAACCGCGGCGACTTTAATATCACCGACATGGTCGCGGGTGTCGGCAGCTTGGGAGTCATCCCCGCAGTGGGTGGGCTTACTTCCAACGCGGGTGGGTGTGGTTCCAACGCGGGTGGGACTACTTCCAGTCTGGGGGGGGCCATGTCGCCTGCAAGTTTTGGTGGTGTTCTTGCTGGCAGTCGCATGGGCAGGGTAGTTCCAACATGGGTTGGGAAGCCTTCAGCATGTGTGCCCCTCAATTCCCAACGCAGTGCCAGGCGACGGTGCTGCTCGTCCTGCTCGTGCTGGTGGTGTCAGAGCTACGGTCGGCCTGGGGGCTGGCGGCAGTGGAAAATGTCTATTTCCACGTCCTGTGCAGATAAGCAATGCCACATGGTTTGCGCGGCTGGCTGGGGCAGGCGGTACTGACCTCAGCGGTCAGGGGGGGCACGCACTGGCCATCCCGCCACGGCTCGAACATGGGAGGAGCAGGCGCCGCAGGTGGTGCGCGTGCTGCTCCGGGCAGTGACCTTCCTCAGGGAGTTTTACTGCAATGTTGGCCGTCTGATGTCGAGCGTACTGAGCCAGAGACTTCGCAGCGTGCTTCGTCGGCAGTGTTCGGGCAGTCCGTCGAGGGAACGGATTGCTTGTGCACACTCGGGGTGAATGCGAGTAGCTGGGAGAAGTTCACGGCGGTCGTCGACTGACGCGCAGACCAGGGACCGCAACGTTTCGACATTCAGCGACCGATCAGGCAGGTGTTCAGCCTCATTTGCTGTGCGTGCAAGAGGCTCGACTCAAGTCGAAAGATACGTTGCACCAAACGTACGGTTGGGGGGGGGCCAGGGGAAACGGTATCTCAGTTTTGGGACGGCGGATTCGACGGGGGAAGGTGCCGACATGAACGCAGTAAAAGCGGCAAAAAGCGTGGTCACGGCCATAACGTCGGCAACGGTTGCTCCAACTCTGTTTGAAGGCTTCCGCTCTCGCATCGTAACTCGCCACCCGGACGTGGGTCTCCCGACGGGCTCATCGTGATCTCGGCCTTACTTGTTCACCAGCATAGGACACACCTTAGGAATGTCTTGGGTCAGTGTGTTTCCAGGATCAGGAGTGTTTGGATCATTCAGACCGACTGGAACTTCACGCCCGCCGAGCTGGAATCCGCAGGGTGGGTGGATAGGATCGGTGGCACCTATCTTTTTTTCGACTAACCAGCCCTCCTGCAGGCACTCTGCCACAGGACCTGCGGCTGGAGACGACAAAGACGGAGGAGGGGGCATCAAGGCGCGAAGGAGTTCGATTTCTTCGTTCGTGCTCGTGCTCTTGGGCTTTGTGTTCGGGAAATTCGGTCTTTTCCAAGAGCCCCCGTTCAGCCTCATATGGGACGCACATAGACATACTAGCATTATATGTTTTCCTTTGAGGCGCGCGTCCGACCCGAACATTTAGTCGGAGGTTGGGGGGTGAGATCGAAGTGGAACGGAGAGCCCCCCTACCGGGAAATCGATTTCGGTTTCGTGTTCGTGCGTGCCGTGCGTGCGGGCGAGGCGAAGCTGCGTGAAAGGGCGAGAGAAAGTCTCCTGTGGCTGAGGCGCGGCCAGACCAAATGATTGCCGTCCGGGCGTCTGGGGGCCCGCGGTGTCCCGCCAGGTGTCCCGCTGGGGTCCCGTGTGGCTGAGGCGCGGCCGGACCAAATGATTGCCGTCCGGGCGTCTGGGGGCCCGCGGTGTCCCGCCGGTGTCCCGCCCGTGTCCCGTCGGTGTCCCGTCGGTGTCCCAATGATGATGATGGTGATGATGATGTTGTTGTTGATGATGATGAGGATGATGATGAGGATGATGATGATGGTGCTGATGATGATGGTGATGCTGCTGGTGCTGAGGATGATGATGGTGATGATGATGATGGTGATGGTGGTGATGATGATGTTGATGATGATGTTGATGTTGTTGTTGGTGGTGATGATGATGACGACCCGTGTTGTTGTGAGATCGATTGTGAGATCGATGGTAAGATCGACAGTGAGACCGGCCGAGAGACATCGATGATGATATCGATTTTGAGATCGACAGTGATATTGATCGAGTGAGATCGATTGAGTGAGATCGATCGTGAGATCGATAGTGCAAGAGGGGGCACGGGCTGCGCCAGCCTTTCCCGACGCTCCAGTATTCTGTGACCACATGCCGCCTTTGGCTGCCGTTGGGCAGGTTGGACAGGTTCCCAAGGGGAGGGACGAATGGTACCAAGGCGCCAATGAACGAAGGGTGATGTAAACAACTCGACACCGACGCTCCCAAGAGCGAGCGGCAACGCAACACTCTCCATTGGCATCGTCACAACAACAATCACAACTGTTGCCCATTGCTGGGACCCTTCCCCCCCCAACCTCCTTATCACCCGCAGGGTGGTCGTATAGGTATGCCCATCTTGTAGTATTATCGTTTCCCGAGCGGTGTGGCCAGAAAGCGCCCGGCAAGACGCATATACAATAGGATTTCTCGGTGCGCGCGTCGCCCCTGGGGGGGCGACGCACATATAGTATAAGTATGTTGGGGTGGCGCCGATCATATGCAGTTGGATTTGGTTCTTGAGGGCCTTGTCCCGACTCGGACGATTTCGACGCAAATCCACTCCAAGAGGTCCCGCTGGAGCCCTGCGTGGGACCGCGGAGGCTTTGTGGGCCCCGGAAACGGCAGGGCCGTTTTTTCACCGTTTCCGCAAAAAATGTCTGTTGAAAATGGAAACGGCAAAAAAACGGCGACCGGAAACGGCAAAAAAACGGCTCCAGGATTGGAACCGGAGCCGGAACCGGTCAAAAAACGGCGACGGAACCGGTAAAACAACGGCGTCGGAACCGGCAAAAAAACGGCAACACGGAACCTGTAAAAAAACGGCCCTGTCGTTTCCAGGGCCCACTACGCGCGGAGGGAGCTCGTGGAGGAAGCCTTCTCATGAAGCCTAGACACGTCAGGCCCGCCAGGGCTGAGCACCGGCTGGTGGGAGCTGGTTCGCGCATGATCGGACCAGCCAGCTTTCCATTCCCGTCGACGAGGTCGACGTGGCAGAGGACGGAGACAAGGCCGTCCAGGCCAGGGGGCACCTCTTTGGTTTCGGAGGCGCAGGGGCCAGCGATGATCACCCACCTCGATGGGACATCCAGGGCCAGGAGCTTCCCAGGAATAGAGCTGCCACGACTGCTGGACGCGTGCATGGGGTACTAGGAGAGTGCTGGCTTGGCGTGGGACGCCTTTCATCCATGCCAGGTCTTGAGGCTCCCCAAAGAGTACCAGCTCAGGGTCCTGGACATCCTCCATGGGTTCGGGGAGACTCCCGAGGTGCTCTCATGCCTCATTACTAACATTCCCTCCCTGGACAAGCCAGAGGGGTGTGGTCACGCCAATTGGCCTCCTATGTGTTGTTCATGAATGTATGGTCGAATTGACTCCAGCCCATCTGCCGCAAGTGGGAGACAGATCAACCAGCGTTTTTGTTCTGGGGCGCATCCCCGAGTCTACCTGCGAGCACGCAAGGTGGGTCACATCATGCCTGCGCACTTCGGCCACTGCATCGGAACCCCGGGCGGCGT